GCTACTTTTTTGTATTCGAATACTGTTCATTTTTGGTACCCTGGAGTATATACACCATGGTGTCAATAGGTTCCATTCATCAACACTATTAGACTACTGTATAGAATTGTTTGTTTTCAAGATGAAAACATTAAAGATATATTATCGAATCTAATCAAAGTTACTTGATAGCTTAAATGACTATTTTGAAAATAACTAAAAAATGTCTTATTATACTTCAAGGGTTTACATCTTTTAATCCTATTAAATTTGAGTTCTTGAAAATCAACCCAGAGACTCAGTGGTAACGTGCTTGCTACAAAACCTAAAGGTTCTGGATCCGATTTCTAGTGGGGTTGTGACTGTACACTGTTGATTCCCGTATGACAGGAAATTTTCTGTTCAATGCTTCCAGGCTTTTAATGGTTCTCAAACTGATTTAAGTCCAAGATGAACAACACTTTTCTATCTAAGTGACAGTTTTACTCCAAAATGCATACTTAAAAAAATATTACTTCAGATGAAGAGTGAGACGAAAAATACAACAAAACAATATCACTTCATTTTGTCAATTACTTTAGGATTAAAACGTTCAGAATGTCTTAGCATCTGAAAACAGACTGAAATTTTACAGAAGATAAGGTGGTAACCATACAAGAAATATTTGAATTTTTCTTAAGGGAAGCTGCCTTTATGCATAGAAATTACCGAGGTGAAATAATTCTTTGTTGAAAGCATCCTTTTGTGTAGCCACGTTCGAAATATACACTGAATCATCTTCAAGGTAATTTTAGTCTATAGTCACCTCGCAAACACTAAGTCCCAAAAGAATATTTTTCGTCAGAATGTAGCTGTCGATGTAACTCAGAACATTTTAACATTAAATAACACCTCTTAACCACACAACGTTCCCCTGAGGAGGCTGCTTCCAAATACTGCGTGTCTGACCTTTTAAAAGTTGTTAAATACATTAACAGTTCAACAGTAACTAGTTGTTATACTGAAAGATTTGTCAAAATAAAAAACAATACCGAGCTTTAAAGTTGCTTAACTAGAGTTTCATTCGCATTTGAAAAGTAATAATGTTTGCCCAAAAGCTTTATACGTATCATAAAACTTATTGACTTATCACATGCATTCCAAACATGAAGGGCGACTAAAAGCCTTTTCTTGTTATATCTGTTTTTGAAAACAAAACATTTAAAACTTGTTAACCCGAAGTTATTGGCTGATAAGCTTTTGTGATTTAATAATTTTTATAGCAATTTGTCCATAAACGACAAAAGTGCAACGAACGTCCTTGAAAACAAGGTGCAACACTAGCACCAGTTCATTCGTACATATGTTGGCTGCAATAAGCTTAAGACAAACAGCAGTTACTTATTTGAACTGATCTAACATTTTTATGAATGAGAATGCTTGGACAGAAAAACCGACTTTCTTAGCTATGTGAATGTTAAGGAACCAACTCATTATATTATCCTCAGCTTAAGGGATTCAGCTACATCTACTTTCCAGATTAATTTGCTTCTTAGCCTAAAACTTATTGATAAAGTTTTATTCGCAGGATGACGTTTCGGGCGTAATTTATCGCTCATAATCATATCAAAGTAATCATATGACTTTCAAACCACCTGTGTTGTCCAACAGTTCGATCTTTGAGTGATGATAAAATATTCTTAATACCTGTAACATGTGAGGAATCATTCCTGTTACATGTGTTTAGTGTTGATCCAATAAACAAAGATTGTGTAATCAATTTATCTTTTCACTTACAAATACTCGATTTTCAAAACACACACTAGTCTTTCTTCCAATATGGTTGTGTCAGTTTATGCAGACGGATACTCAGTTTTCATCTTGATTATTTATCTTAGTAAAGTCTGTCATTGTATATCTCGTTAAATTTTATGCCCATCTATCCTGATTGATGTTGCTACACGACTTCTAACCGTATACTTGACATCACAATCAGTATATGATAGATCATGTTAGTTTACCTAGCTGAATCTACTAAACCTCTTCACCAGTTTGTGGGTTTATTTGCTAATGTGGTTCCACTGTTGTTAACGATCCAATATACCTTCTTTATGCGACAACACAAAATAGTATTTCAATTCCCTGTTATATATGTTGTCTCCACTGGCAATATTATTTCATTCCCTTTTAAAAATCTTCCTAAGCTTTTTCGTAAGCTGTAGAGGGTAGTTATTATGTGGCAATGTCTCTTCAGTGGATTTTATAACTCCTAATTTATATTTTCTGATCACTTGAGATATATTCATGGACAGCTGGGAAAAGATGCTACTGGAAACACTCTGAATCGCACCATAGGTATGACATCGATGTGTAAATGTCAAATTTACTGTTCTGAAATCAGAACATTTTCACAATTTACTGACGCGCATAACATACATAAACAGAATGATCCATCACATACTGCAGACAACTGGAAAGTTTTACTACCTTTAAAACCGAGGAGAGAGGATCTGTTAGACTAGATAAGTGAAGTTTGAAAGTTATATAATTCATGTGGTATGATTATGAGCACTTTATTCAGCTTGAATGGCCAACCATTAGGTAATGCCTTGTTATTGTATGCTAAATGAAAATAAAAGGCAATTTAATATGGGATTATGTTCTGCCCCATTGCTCACGTTTTACCCTTACATTGTGTCTACTTTTTGTTTGAGGCCATTTTAACTGGAAAAAGATCATGTTTTTAATCTTAGTTATAAAAGTGATATTTATCTTACTACGTTGGATAGAAGAGGTAGAATAAAGGCATTTATTTATCAAGCTTTTGTAACTGAGTTATTTCCATTTTAATAAACCTTACTAATAACCAGAAATGTTCTACCTCAAAAAAAGCAGACAATGCACTGCTTAGAATGTAGAGGGAGACTCACCCATCGGAAACCATTTGGCGACAAACCGGTGAGTCATTATATGTTTGAGCATGTGTCAACTCTCATCACTTACTTTCTAATATAATATTTATCATTAATATATCAAGTTTACACATCCTACTTGCGGTTTTTGAACAATGAAAGTACACAGTAAAAATATAGTTACTGAAATAAACTAAGCCTATTAAAATTGTCTTCTCTGCCCTTTGGTATAAACACCCATAGTGCTGATTGTTGAAATACTCAGTAAGTAATGTGACCAATTTTTGTATTCGAGATTAAAAAACGATGATGCAGAGCACAGTATGCTACATATGCATATATATACATCATGGATGATAATTAACGTCTAAAATTTAGCTGAAATCTCTCGCTAAAATCTGTTAGAACTTTGTTTTAATTTTTTCCGTAAAAGCTTTCATAACTTCTCCGTACAAAATCAAAACTAGCTAATTATAAAACATGGAGTTTGTTTTATCAAAATATTTATTTTCAGAAGAGATAATTTTTCAAAAGCTGTAGAAATCCTCTCAAAAAAGTACTCACAGAGCTGGCATATCAGCTGTGTACTGATGGAACATATATATGAATACTGCTGAATGCTTGATGGTCTTGTGGTGTTAATTATTTTCATTTTTCGTGTGTTAAACACCTAGTGAATAAATTTTCAAAATGGTGAGAGAGTAAACTATCACTTACGTAAATGAAAACAGCTGGTAATTAAACAGATAAGATTAGACTTGAAGTTTTGAAGAACTGTAATTTTTTTACTATATGAAAGAAATTAATGGGCAAGGAAAAAGGGTTAATGAATGTGATAATTAAATTTACGCAACTGTAATTAAACTAGTTGATGTAGGTGAAAAAAATAAGCATCATTACTGCTACATTGAAAAACATTCTCGATTCAAATTAGGTTCTGTTCATGCCACGGTACGGTATTCGGCAAGAGATTTTTCTGTACAGACAACACAATTGTATGTTATTGAGTTTTACGAAGCTGAACTGGTAATTATCCTTACACAGCCTAGGGATGATAGTAAGGTGAAATAAGGTGATAAGGCATCTGCTGTTCACCATTGAATAGAAATTACTAGTTGCTCATTCTTGGGAAATTAAGACACTTAAATCAAACTGTTGGGGCCAGTTTCCCAAAATATCTGTTAAGAGCTTGCAATATTAACCTTTTCAGTTATCATTAATTAGGATTAATGTAGTTCATGTCTAAGAGTTAATTGTTGATCGATTGGTTAATTATTACAACTGTTCTCATTTGTTTGGATTATGGAAAAGTGTATAAACCATCAGATTAACAAAGGAAGGATAAAAATTCTGAATAAACCTTCTGTCCAATATAGCGACGCATAACTGAGGATAAGTTCTTTACTCTCATTTCCCGAACTTAAATGTCGCTTGATAAAATAACTGTCAGAAATGAGATTTAACATGTTATTTTCATAACTGCATCGAAGTATAATACCTTATAATTATACTCATGAAACTATTTAATTCTTGCTAATCTAACTTGTGATGACGACATTACTGCGTTTATTTCGGCAAAATCAGATACAACAAGCAGTTTATGCAGCTTAATAATAGGGATCTGTTTAAAACTATTTCCTGCTCATTGAGTTATGTAGACAGTGAAAATTATTGAGTTTTATCCAACCCTTCTCGTGGCATACTTTTAGTTTGCTGATAGTGCAAAGACTGTCGACTAATAAGCATTTGTATGTTGGTTGATTTACAGCAATCGGTAGGAACCTTGGACGCAGGTTATGTGCTTGTCAGGACTTGTCAGCAAAGCGTATTTTCAACCAGATGGAATAGATGTTTCACTTGAGAATTCAGCCAGCGTCATTGGACAACATGAAATTGGATTTATGCTTATTTACTTCCGAAAACGATTGACAAACGAAATTATTTCATCATATTATTACATTAGGTAAAAGTTGGAATCCATCTATGTTTTTATTATAGTTCAAGTTTGTTTACTGTAGCCTAACACAGCACGCAAAGGGTTTTTATATCACTTGTCAAAGCTTGTATTTCATCATTTATGCAAGGATAATGTATTCAGTGCTATAAAAATTGTTTTCCCTTTCTTTATAGGCCATATTATTATTCTTAAGTGGACTTGTTGGAGATTGTTTTACTGACACAGTGTACAATGCCCTTGGAGATTTTATGGATTTATTAACCATTGTTAATAATGGTATCAATTTTATATTATATTGTTCCATGTCACATCAATTTCGTACAACATTCATGCAGTTTTGTACACAAATATTTAGAAGTTGCAGAATGAATTAAAACTTTTCATTTCACATTCTACTAACTTTTCATTTATTATGCAACTTGAACAAAAGAAAAATATATGCACTACTGTTTACTGTGATGTAGAGAAGCAAGATATTTTGCAGAAAACTTAGGATATTTGTATGTTTAACTTGTTAACATGTGACTGGGAAATCAAAATGTAGGATGTGATATACAACTAGCCTTTATTACCTTCCTTTGATCACAGTAATCATTTTTGTTGTTATGACTCAGAAGTTCCTCCTAATCCTTGTTTGTGGTTGCTTGCAGAACAGAAAAATAAACAATGCACCAAAGTTGTTCTATCTGTTTCCATGTTTCTGGAAAAAGACGAACCTTCTTTCTTTTATTTACTCTGTTATATATTAGTGCTATTAAGTACCTGTAGTCGATCTTTGTTCTCTAAATTTCAACTGAAGTCCACCTTCACTGAAGAAAATCCTAGTCGTATGGGCAGAAATGTAGTGGGCTTCAAAAGTTTAGTCTCATCACAAATTTACGCTGCATTGAGTGATGTTTCACTGAAATATCTAACAGCTTTCAAATAATCAAAAAATCATGCATTCATTCACCTTTATCAGCTTGAATAACGCAATGAGAAAATGAGTTGCAGAATAAGATGGCGTCATTTTATTTCATGGAACTTTTATCAGCTGCATACACTTCAAGTAAATAGTTGAATAATGACTAGTAAAAATATTATTATATTTGAAGATATCGGTTAATGTTATGAAGGTCGAAGGAGCATTTTAATTCAGAACACAAAAGAAGGTTTAGGCAGTAAATTCAGTCAAACTAGAAACCGGTAAGAAAGAATCACGAGTAAGTGAGATAATCACTGGAATAGGTAGACGCAGTGATTTAGCGAAAAATTACTTTAAAATGATTGGTTCCTTTGATAAACTTCAACAGAACAATAAGAAGACGTAAATTTTCTGAACCGTTTAATGTATTTGTGTAACACATTTCAAACTATCTGATCACACATGCGTTTGTCACAAGTATTCATAGGAAAATTCATGAAGATAATGGGGTGATAAAATGAAAAGAGGTCAAGTAGGAAGGCATCTACTAATTCATATGTAAGTGTGGTGACATACACATGGGGATGACCCATAGATCCATGCAAACAAAGGCTTTGGAAGATATTTTAAAGCATCTTCAGAAGCAAATTAAATCACCTGAACACATAAACGTTGGCAGCAGATGTTCTTATTCTTCGAACGCGACACATATCGTTGAGACAGGTCACATGATTGACTTGCCTACCTCCTTTAGACCTATCTACAAAACGTGCTGGGGACGGGTCCGTAAAGCTGTTGAGGTCTTAGCTATTAGGAAGTTCAAACCACTTTAGTGTGTTCATGAACAATTTATAATTACATTAAATCTCCGCTGGTAAATTCAACTACAAAAACTAATTTTAATGTACTAATACTTTTGCTCTATTGATTTTCATTGTTATTCGGCCTTTAATTCAGCCTTCCTACTTAACCTCTTCATTTTCTCAAGAGTTTCCATATAAATGTCTGTGACAGTTACGTTTGTGATCAGACAGTTTGAAGTGTGTTGCCCGTATACATTACGTGGTTCAGACAATTCACGTTTTCTTATTGTTTCATCAAAAAATTATTGCATCAGTTCATGCAAAACGTGTGACTTAACAGCACAATGTATTTCAAACATTTGTAGTGCATATTTTTATGAAGTATAACAAAGGAGAAATGGGGTTAAAAAATAATCGATATAGTAAAAGGTTGAAAACTTAATTAAGATATCAAATTATAAGAGGTTGACAGTATATGAAGCAGAAGATGAACCAGTGCAAGGATGCACAACAAAAAGAAGAACTGAGTACAAGGTATAAAACACTGGACAGAGAAATGAAGAAGAGTGCGCACAAAGACACATTGGCAAGTGAAGCAGAACAGGCTGCAGGTAGGAGAAACAAAAACCTGACAACATTATATCAAATAACCAGGTTATTAACCAAAAAGAGATCAGCGCAGACGAAACCAATGAAATATAGTGAAGGAAACCTAGTTACCAAAGAGAGAGGAGAAACAAAGGAGACGATTGGCTGACCACTTCAAAAAGCTGTTGAACTGACCAACGCCACCACCTGCAACTCGTCCAGAAATACCACCAGCACCGTAGAACTACCAGTGAACACAGGCCCTCTGACAAAAGCAGAAGTCCTGAATGCCATAAAGTTGCTGAAATCTGGCAAAGCAGCAGGACTAGATAGAATTCGGCCAGAAGTACTGAAAACAGATGCACAGACAACAGCGGATATGCTTGCAACACCACTGCAGAAGGTTTGCAAGGAAGGAAGGATAGGTACCTGCAGATGAGAAGAAGGGCTACCTTGTCAAAATCCAAAAGAAGGGAGACATAAGCCTTTGCAAGAACTAACGCGGAATCATGCCACTGTCCATCCCAAGCAAGAGATTATGCCGCTTCATCCTGGAATTTCGAACAACCAATTATAATCCAACCTCGCCTGGTTAACTAGTTCACTAGTTACTAGCCGGTCCTAAGCCTGGGTAAAGAGGGAAGGTTGGGCATAGTACAAGCAACCCTACCCCGTTAAACAAGTCTAACCGCTAAACAAACTTCAAAGCACAAAGAAAATATAAAAAATGAAAACAAACTTATTCCTCGTTGGAATCGGAGTGGCGAAATGACGTCAGTTGGTGAAAGCCTGCCTTCGGGAAGCCAATTGGCCGATGTGTCTTCTCTCGATGAAAGCGAAAGTAAACGTGGGGACATGGAATGTGCGCAGGATGTTTGAACCCAGTAAGGCAGCCCAGATTGCAAAGGAGATGAGAAGGTATAACATCGAAGTGCTTGGGATCTGCGAAAGCAGATGGAATGGAAGTGGACTCTCCAAACTGTCAACTGGAGAATCAATAATCTACTCCGATATTGTCACCCAGACGACAACCACGAGCACACTGGGTGTTGGAGTGGCTATCATGATGTCCTCAAGAGCATCGAAGGCTCTCATGCAGTGGGAACCAATCTCCTCCAGGATCATGACAGCAAGATTCAACTCAAAAGGAAGAAAGGTCACAATCATACAATGTTATGCACCTACAAATAATGCAGAGCAAGAGAAAAAGGAGGAATTCTACACACAACTTCAATCAACACTGGACAAGACACCACTCAAGTTGGCGATATCAAAATTCTGATGGGAGACATGAATGCCAAACTGGGAGGGGACAACACTGGAAGAGAACTAACCATGGGTCGAGAAGCGCTCGGTGAGGTGATGAACGAGAATGGAGAATTGTTTGCAGAATTCTGTGCATTCAACGATTTGGTGATTGGAGTTAGGCAGTGTGTTCAAGCAGAAGGATATCCACAAAGCGAGCAACATAGGTTTCACCAGATGGACACACTAAAAATCAAATCGACTTTATCTCAATCTCAAGAAAGTGGAGACGCAGTCTACTTAACACAAGGTCAAGAAGGGGAGCAGATGTAGGTTCAGACCACTCACTATCCAGTGCAAGGAACCTTCCAAATCAAGTTAAAAGCCTTCAAGAAAGCTGGTGATAGAACACAGTTAGAGTACAACACTCGGAAATTGAAGGATGAAACTACAAAGGAAATCTTCACGGCAGCCAGCCATCAAGACAAATGGGAGATATCGAGCAACATCCTGAAGAAACTTGTGTGGATGAACACTGGAAGTCTTTGAAAGCTATGTGGAAAGAAACCTGCATAACAGTATAAGGAAGGAAGAAGAAAGAAGACAAGGAATGGATCTCGATGGACACATGGAAGGTGATAGAGGAGGAGAGGAGGATGGTGAAGCAGAAGATAAACCAGTGCAGTGAAGGATGCTCAACGACAACAGGAACTGAGTACAATGTATAAAACACTGGACAAAGAAGTAAAGAAGAGTGCACGGAAAGACAAAAGACACTTCTACGAAACACTGGCAAGTGAAGCAGAACAGGCTGCAGGTAGGAGAGACAGAGACCTGACAACATTGTGTCAAATAACCAGGTTGCTATCTGGGAGATCAACGCAGACGAAGCCAATGAAAGATGATGATGGAGATTTAGTTACGAAAGAAGGGAGACAAAGGAAGCGATTGGCTGGTCACTTCAAAAAGCTGTTGAATTGACCACCACACCCGTCTGCACTTCGTCCAGAAATTCCACCTACAGCCGCTGAACTATAAGTGAACATAAATCCTCCAACAAAATGGAAGTCCTGAACGCCATAAAGCTACTGAAATATGGAAAAGCAGCAGGACCAGATAGAATTCTGCCAGAAGCACTGAGAACAGATGCAGAGACAACAGTGGACATGCTCATACCACTATTGCAGAAGGTGTGGAAGGAAGGGAAGGTACCTGGCCATTGATTGGAAGAAGGGTTACCTTGTCAAACTGCCGAATAAAGGAGACCTCAGTGCTTGCAGGAACTGGCGCGGAATCATTCTCCTGTCCACCCAGAGCAAGTAAAATATTAAGCCGCATCATCCTGGAGAGGCTTAAAAATACACTGATTCAAAAATACGACCAGAACAGGCAGGCAGGCTTCAGGAAGTACAAATCATGTGCAGACCAAATTGCAACGCTACACTCGCATCATCATAGAACAGAGCATAGAATCGCAGTCAACTCTCTACCTCAACTTCAACGACTTTGAGAAGGCCTTTGACAGCGTCGACCGAAAAGTAATTTGGAAACTGCTTCATTACTACGGAGGGCCGCAAACCTTTATCCGCCTCATTCAACAACTATATGAAGATGCCACATGCCAAGTAATTCACAATGGGAAGCTCAGTGATGCCTTTGAAGTGAAGACAGGAGTGAAACAAGGTTGCCTACTATCCCCCATGATATTCCTGATTGTGGTCTAGTGGACTGGATCATGCAGCAAACAGTGGGGAGCGAGAAGAGGAGGATACGCTGGCTGGTCTGCGGAAAAGAACCTAGAAGACTTGGATTTCGCCGATGACTTGTGCCTGAT